TGTGTAAACTCAGCAAAATATTCTAAAAGAGTCCAGTAGCACACAGAAAGGAAAGGGGAAGGTAGGAGCAGAAGCATAGCTGCATGCACTTCAGGTCAGAGCCTCTGCTGGCTGAGAGTCACCAGTGGGGGGGTGTGTGCACACACGCGTGCACCAGATGAGAAGGAACAGTGGGAGATGGCAAGGGAAGACTGGAGCCAGCTTTCAAAGGGTTTTAGGTCAGCCTAAGGAATTCTGGAGTTTATTTTAAAATAGGAGGGCTTTAAAGATTTATTACATGGAAAACTGACACATTACATGCAAAGTAGGAATAAATTGTAGCTAAGAAAACCACTTTGGAATGTGTAGTTAATAAAGAATTATATTAATAAAGTAGTCACTGTAAGCATGTATGTTATTTTGTTATAAATTCTGTTATTTTTGGAAATTTATTTTTAGTTTACAAAAAACTATGTATTTATGGCATACAACATGATTTCAAATACACTCAGGCAGTAAAGTAGTTAAATCAAGCTTCTTATGCATCACCACACATACTTATGGTTTTGGGAAGAAAATGCTTAAAATATACTCCTTTAGTAGTTTTCAAATGTACAGTATATTGTTATTAACTTCTTGTAGAACTATGTTATACAATAGATCCTTTGAACTTATTCCTCTTCTTTAATTGAAATTCTGTGTCCTTTGACAGACATCTCCCCACTCCCCAGCGTGTACCACCAGAATTTAATGTTTTTATAAGTTTAACTTTTTATACTCCACAGGATCACAAATTCTTGCATAATTAATGTAGCTTTTTAAAGACCTACATAGAAAACCCTTTTCTCTTTGTATTCTGCTGAAGAACTTATTCAAAACAATGATTAGTATCTAGGCACAAACATACCATTTTTAAAGCAGCTTTAACTAAATTAATAACATAATTTAGTTTACACCCAATTTTCTGTGCTAAATCCTTACTCTCTGCTCACCAAGGCGCATAGGAGATTCCCCAATACCTGGAGCTGGGGCCTATGCTGATGACACTGCAGGGGCTGCTGCAGCCACTGGGGATGGAGATATATTGATGCGCTTTCTCCCGAGGTATGGCTCCGTAGCTTTGCAACTCTAGAAGTCTTTAATGGAGGTATTTTCTTTGTCAAGGTATAAAATAATTTTTCATATTATGTCCTTTGAATTTGTGCACACAAAAGCTATTTAGAAACCACATAGAGGCTTTTGTCTATCATTAAATTAATGATCATTCAAATTAAGTATCAATAACACTGGGAAATCGAACATTGTTTATCACCCTACTTCAGAGAAGAAAATATTTATGCTAAGTGATTGATGTAAAGCCACTAAGTAAAGGAAATGTGGTTATTGATAAAATTAAGAAGCATACTTATTGTATGCAATTATACAACTACATGTTTTGTACACACGTGGTATTTTCTCCTTTGTACTTTCTTTTCTCATTTAAATATAAATGCCCTGAGACTTCTGTTATTGCTAAGTGACTGTTATTCAGCCAAGTCCCCCTCTGTTCCTCGAAATGATCATCTGAAATTAATGGTGAGTTAAATAGCATTGTATCAAGGATTCCTTACTTTGCTGTTGAAGCCTAGCAGGAGTTCTTTCTGTTCATTTATATGAATTCTATCCAATGTGATTATTTTAGTGATTTTAAATTTCTTACCTTAAGTAATCCAATTTGGAGTTAGTATTTATGCTCTGGTATTGAAGTCTCACCTCTGTTTAAATCAGCTACCAAGCAGTGGAATATATGAGAAGAGGAGAAGATCCAACCATAGCTTGCCAGAAAGTTATTTCAAGAATTCAGAAGCATTTTCCAAAATTCTTTGGAGCTGTTATATGTGCCAATGTGACTGGAAGTTATGGTAAGTTGTATTTGGATTTTGTATTTGTGTGAACTTACAAATGTTTATAAAATGTACACTTTTAAATGTCATAGCATACAGTACACTGTTTTCAAAAAAAGGGGACCCTGTAGAGTAAGTTCTAGGTAAATGTCAACTGATGACCTGTTAAGTGCCACAAGTATTAAAAATATGCCTAAAACCCTTTGGTTGACTGCTGGTGATCTAGTCTATGACTGATAGTTCTTATCTCTGTCATCTTTCCTAAAAGGAGTTTAGCTTCAGCCCTAACAGTACATGTTGAGATGGGCTGATTTAATCAGTTACTTTTAGTAGTTAGAAGTAAGTAGGGATAAATTAGCATTTCTACTACTTTTTCCATTTATCACATAAATTGTTTAGCCATTAACTCTTGTGGCTTCAAAGATCAAAATTACTACAATTCTGATTAACCTTAAAAGTTAGCAGAATTATTTTTTTCCTATATTTGAAGTTTGTCTTTTCCTTCATTTGATTTCTGTATGAGCCTACCACAGTTTTAAAGCATTTGGAGATCAACCACTGCTGATTCTTATTAGTGAATTTTCAGATAGGGAAGGCATACAGCTTACTAATCAATGCAGCTTATTGAGTTAGACTGCTGCTTATTGTTCTGTGACTTTTTACTTTTCATACTTCTGTATTTGAGAAACTTTGAAGATTTCCTTATTCTTTTTTAACTACTAAGATACAGAAGTCAGTAAAAGTTGTGCGAGAGAGAAGACTATGTATAAAATAAATCAGTTTCATTAATTCCCTAATAAAAAATAAAACACAGAAAACTCGAAGTTGCATTTAACAAGATGGCAGAATGCTACTTATATTCTGGTAGATGAATTTGAAATTGACTAGTTCCGTATATTTAACATCCTGACAGTAGAAAAGCCCTCCTCCCATACATAGGGCACGTATTTGGGCAGAGATGAACTCAGACAGGTAGCATCGTGACAATAACTCTTCTCTCTTTTATGAAAGTAAAAAGTAGAGGAGAATAAAAAGCAGTGGTATGGGCAGTTTTAGGAAGACAGTGGTAGGAGTGTGCTTGAATAATTTCTTCTAAACAATGGATGTGACAACACAGTAAAATAATAGAAGTGATGTCATGGATGTGGAGCAAACTTCATCTACTTTTCTGAGGTTTAAAAGATTAGCTTATCTACTCCCTTTTTTCTTAACTTCCATGAACTACTCCTTTCTAAGGAGAATGACGCTCATATACTTCCCTGTCACTTAGACATAGGTACACCATAGCCAATATCCAGCACACAGCAGTATTTGTACAAATTACAAATATATGCATCTTGTATTTAACCATGTAACCTTTTCTTTTTGGCCCAAGGTGCTGCTTGCAATAAACTTCCAACATTTACTCAGTTTAGCTTCATGGTTTACAATGCTCTGAAAAATCAGCCAACTGAAGAAAAAGTAGACTGCATTTAATCCATTTGTTCTGTCAGTGTCTATATGTAAAGAAGAAAGAAACAAAGGCTGAAAAGATTGTTCAAAATTATTTAGATGTCCTCGTGCACTTTAAAGTTCTGGTATAAAATAAGTACAAAAATAAATTTATGCTGAAGTGGCACTTTCGCTCTTTGTATCAGAAATTGTTTGGCTCTTTTTAAGCTTTGAAGACCCCATGAAAATGAATATGCATGTGTATGTCTTATTGTATATATTTAAATTTTAAGTAGTACTTGAATTTCTCACTGTTGTTGCAAGAAATTGCTACTTTAGGGATTTATTTCCACATTGATATAATACATCTAAATCTATTTGAGTACTTAAAATAGAGTACACGGCGTTTAGACCCATAGGAAGAGTAACACCAAGTCTCAGCATATTTATCCTGGTTGGATTGCCATATGTTATGTAGGATGTCTGCTATCATTGAATATTTTTACCCAGTATTTTTGACACAATATTTCCTAATAGCTTAAATGATAAAAAAAATGCTATTCATAGAGATGCTTTTTATTTTGGGCATATTAGAAAATATGGGCAATCTTCCAACAAGCAGTTATGTTGATTTTCTTTGCATTTTTCCTAACGGAGTGATTACAACGTGTAAGTTCTGAGACCACAAAACTCTCAGTTCTTTTGCTTACTAATGTTCAATATTGATCGTTTCTTTTGAAAAATCATATGGAGCACTTGATTGGTGCTGCATTTTACAAATCTTATTCTGAGAGGATGGCCTTACAATTGTTGTCTAGCTTGCTGTTATTTTTCTAATTTCTGAATTCACTGTGATTAACAAGTACAGAGAAATTACATATAAACTTTGAAGTCATCTTTTCCTTCAGAATCATTACCTTTTATATCAGTAATAGAAGATGCACAACATCTTTCTCAAACTTTAGTATTCTTTTTCTACACCCACCCTAATGTTTGCTATCCTGTATAATGTGAGTAGAAAGCTGTGGTTGAAAATGATGCAAGTCACTTGTTCCCAGGCCTTCCTGTGCATCAGATTGTCCGGGGACCCTCATTAATAATGCCTGAAGGGGCAGGACAAATAGCTCAGCGGATTAAAGCACCTGCAAGCAGGCTCAGGTGCCGGGAGTTCAATTCCCAGGGCCTGCTGTGCCAGCCCCACCCCCAGGATGCACTGAGACAGCTTTGAGACGGGGCATGATGGCACGCACCTGAAATCCCAGCTCTTGGGAGGCTGTAAACAGGCGGATCACTGTGAATCTGATCTAGTAGTGAGACCCTGAACACCCTGTAGACCCTTCCCTAAAATACAAAAAAAAGTAATAATAATATAATGCCTGAGATTGCACTCTATCAGGTTCTCCCCAGATAGGTATCTAGATTTAGCACCCATCGATGGTAGTCTGATAGCTAAATGAAACCGTTCTACAACTTCATATTTAAAAATCAGAAAAAGAAATCTTACTTTTCTGGGTTCTCAGGCACTGTAAAGTTGCCTAAATGTAATAATGGGCCTTAGAACAAAGGGAACGAAAACAGATTTAAACTCAAAATATATTTAATTTAAAATGATATTCCTGTTATATATATTTCTCTCTTCCTGCTAGGCAGTCATGTAATACCAGAAAAAAAGAAAATAGAAAGTATTTATGGCCTGTAATTCCTCTCCCAATTAAGAGTTTAACTGACAGAAAAAAAAAAAAAAAAAAAACTTTCAGATGTTTTTAAAGGATGTTTTCTCTTGAACTCACATTCTTTCTGATAGAAATAATGTCCCTATGTATTTAACAAAAAATGGCCTTGAAGGGGCCAGCCAAATATCTCAGTGGATGAAAGTACCTGCAAGCAGGTGCAGGAGCCAGGGGTTCAGTCTGAGAGCCTGCCATGCTGACCTTGCCCCTGGGGTGCGCTGAGAGGGCAATTGAGTTTGGGCGTGGTGGCCTGTGCCTGTTATCCCAGTTCTTGGGAGGCTATAAACAGGAGAATCACTAGTCTGATCTAGTAGTAAGACCCTGAACACCCTGTAGACCCTTCCCTAAAATACAAAAAAAAGTAATAATTTTTTTAAAAAAATTAGTCTTGAAAATATATTTATGAAATTCTAGATTGGAATATATTTAATATTTATTATTTAACATGATTTGTATATGATAACATCTTTTAAAAAGAAAATTATTTGTCCCTAAAGTTCATGTCTTCGATAACATTTTAGTATTAGTGTTCTCTAGAGTCATGAAAAAACACGTAAGAAACTGCTGGAACACTACATAGTAAAATGAAGGTAAATAAAGACCCCATAAATAAATTAACTTTGAAATGGTTCTCTATTACTTGGAAAAAGCAAGAAAGTAGCTGGGGAAGAGAACATTAGAAAATTAAATGAAGTAGCCCTCATGGCACACAGTAGTTGTTTTCTTCACATGTATTGTGGTTGTATCATTGTTAGAGATGACATGGCTATTGCAGAGGATAAGGTGAAGTAAGAAATACAATTCCGAGCTTTGGTCCCATTCTTCCTACTTTTCCTTTTGTATAAGAAATGTTTTATGACTTACTACCTAGGTAAAATAACATTGTCCTAAACACACGGGTGGACTAGCAGTTTTCCTAAATGATTATGGAAACAGTATTGTCACTTAACTTTATTATTTTTTGTTTATATAAACATTGTCCTCATTTTTAAAACTATCAAATGTCTCCCTTTGAAGCAAAGTTTAAGTAGATTTGCTTGCAAACGCCTAGTAAAAGTTTGGGCTTTCCTGCATGCTTTCCATGGAATGTGGACAGCATGTTTTTTACCCACTTCTCTGTCCCTCCTATGGGACCTAGTGGGGCCATGATACACAGGTTATGTTGGTTGCTAGATGTAGTGACAGTCCTGTGTCTGATGCCTTCCACCAGCTTATGTGATTGTGACAGGCTAACTTCTTTGCTGGAAATTAGGGTCAAATCTCAGGCCATCCACAGTTCTTGATTCTGCCTATAGATACTAGAAAGAGAGGCTCCTGATTTCCTTACTGTCCGCTGTGCATTGTTTTTGCTGGTTTTTTGTCTCCTCCTCCTCCACTCCCCCACTTCTATACACACATATGAGCTGAAACTTCATAGGCTGGCATGTAAATCAAAGACAAGAATGAAAATTGTTTTCTGAGTTTAAATCCTAAGGAAAAAAGGGTGGGGGGCAAGGAGATGGCTCGGTAGAATAAACGCTTCCCTGGCAAGCGCAAGAGCCTGAGTTCAATCCCCGGTTCTGCCAAAAAAAAAAAAATAAAATCCGAAGGAATTATTTAAGCCCAAGAAGGCCTATCTTAATGTTCTGAGTTTCATATAAATAGTTCACACTATGAACTTTAATTATAGTAAAATTTCCTAATGATCTTTTATCCAGAAATCTACCTAAAATACCTAAATACTAACTGTATTTTAAGTAAACAATTCAAATAATTCAAACTTTAGCAGTACCAAATAAATATTTCAAAATAATAGTTATAATGACCTATATTTGATGAAAATATTCTTAATAGACCTTGATTTACCTTGTAAAATAATTTAAAACATACATGTACCATATACACAGAACAATAAAAATACACCTATTTCCTTAGCACTCCTTTTGATTTAAAAATCCAAATAATAAACATGATACGCTGTAATGACATATGTGAACTTTTTATTATTTATGAACTTTTTAAAGTTAACTAATTTTTTTGTTTTTTAACTTTTGTCTAAAGTGTTTGATGTTCTATGATTGAATTTAGAAATTAGAACACAATTGAACTTGTTTAGTATAACTAAATTCATTTAAAAACTATTGGTGGCATAAATATATATTCTAATTATGCACTGATTACAAAGATAAGACCTGTTTAAGTCATTTGTCAATTTTTATTTGTAGAGCTCAAGAAAATGTTTCTAAAAGGACATTTAAAATTTTTGCTTACTTGAATATGGAGCATCATCTCCTACTTAGTATATATCCAACTGCTTTCCTACAAAGTAAAAAATGTGAGATAACAAGGGACAGAAAAAGATGCGTTGTTTGTGATAAATTTGTACCATATATTTTCTCCTGTGACTTAGTGTCATCTTTCAAAAAGCATGAGCATTTGAATAATAAAATAATTGCTACATTCAGAATGAATATAATGGAAGATAAAACTGCTCTGATCAGTCTATTTGTTTCTGAGTTAAAGGGAAAGGAAATTATGTAAACCTAATGCATGGATAGTGCACTAAGGAATTGGTCAACCAATTTGAATTTCTGGCCTTTCAGTGCAGTGCATTAGAAACATTTACTCATTTATTTTCTTTAATTAAAATTTGATTCCTCTAATGTGCATGTTGACATATAATATTTCTAAGAAAATCAGATATTGAGTAAATGTAGAGAAGCGAAATCTCTTCTAATTGCACATAGCCTATCACCATTTCTTTGTAACTTGTATAAAATCCTCAAGCACCATAAATGTCAAAATGCTTTTTTCCATTCCTAAATAAAAGCAATATTATTTGTCTTCTGCTCACTGTGTAAGCTGATTGAAAAGAAAACCGAAGAAAAGAATAAAAGAAGTAGAAAACAATGCAAACTCACACTAATCAGTTCAAATAAGACTAAAGCAGTGTTACAATGGAACCTAATTTTACTAGTAGACGCAATTACTAAAATGTTTAAGTCTTGAAATAAGTCATGGTGATAAGATTTACATTGTACATGTCACCAAACGCTAGAAAGAGCTTAATTCCACCCCCCCCAGAAAGATAGTTTTGAAATGATGTAGCATAAATATTACACACACACACACACACACACACACACACACACACACACACACACACTATGTGAAAGGAATTCCAGTGCCCAGTTACTTGATTTCAAACCCTGGCTCTGTTCATCTTCAAGTATGTGACCTTGAGCCACTGAGCCCTTTGGAATTGCCCTACTACAGATTGCCAAGGGTGCTGGACGATAAGATTAAATGTTTGCCCTACTGGATATTGATCGTGCTTTGGTCTAATTGCTTCATACCTGTCCTTTTTCTACATTTTCGATTGGAAATTTTATCCTATGCCACTGTATATTGTAAGTGTTAAACTTTTCATTTTTATAGGGGCTCCCAGCTAAGAGTTTGCCTTAAATCTCAGAGGTGATATTGGACTTTTCAGCTATGCTGCAGCTGCTGGGATTTTGGCAAGCCTTAGAGATGGACAAATACATTTTTGTAAAGGAATGTGAAGGAATCTTTTGGGGGCCAAGGCAGAATGTTATATTTGTATCTAGATACACCCCCAGACCTTATGCCCCCATATGTGGGATTTGGGGAGGCAGGTGGATCATGGGATTGGGATATGCCACATGGGCTAACCCACTGATGAGTTTATAGCTGAGTGTGATGTTAGAAGGTGAATCCTGGTGGGAAGAGGTCACTAAGCATGGTATGGAAGAGTACACATACACCCTCATAAAACTGTGTCTCAGAGTTCATGGCCTCAGTTATTTTCAGATTCCTTAGAGGCTAATTAATAATGGGAAATTCCTACAGGTTCAGAGAAACTGCAGATGTCACACACACACACACACACACACACACACACACACACAGGAGTAACCAACCCAAGAGCTTTATGTGGTCCCCCTTGCTGCTGCCCTGTCACCTGTCTCCGGCAGTCCTATCAGCATTCCCACATCACAACAGCTCACTGTACCACGTGCTCTTGGTTTTGTTCTTAAAGCCTGAAGATCCTTAGGAAGCCCCTAAAAACTGGGGATTGAACTCAGGCCCTTGTACTTGCCAAGAAAGCACTTATTCTACTGAGCCATCTCCTCGGCCCTTGTCCTGCACCTGCAGACTTTATTAATACACTAAACTATAAAAATAGGTGTTTACAGTCACTTTTCTGACCATATCTGAATTTCACAGCTTTTTTCTTTATAACTCCGAGGGCTTTAGGAAAAATTTCAGGTCCACTGTGTATTCCTCCTCTTGCTTCCGCTTCAGCTCTTTCTGCTTCCTGCTGCCATGCCAAGAGCTCACTCTCTTCTGCCACATTGTCTTCTGTGGAGCCTTCCTTACTTCTAACTATGTATTAAGACCTTTACAACTTGAAGAAAATATGCCTTTCCTACTTTAAATTGTGGGTGTTGGGTATCATTTCTTAGCAATGAAAGAGTAATTAGACATGGACCAAAAAGACTTCCAAAAAACTGAATCAAAACACACGAACTTCTGACCTTTACAAAATTAACTCAAAAAACACCATATGCCTAAATGTAAAATATAAAACTATGAAATTAGTGAAAACTAGTTATGAAAACTCCTTATAAATCTGGAGGACTATATGTTTGTCAATGAGTTTTGTATATGAAACCAAAGGCAGGAGACATGAAAAAAGTGATCAATTCTCTGTGAAAGATATTTTGAGGAGAATAAGAAGCCATGAATGCAAAGAAAATATTTGCAAAGACATATATGATTATGGCAATGATGACAGGGAAGAGAAGGCTCTCAAAAGAGACCAAGTGCAGAAGAACAGGGAGCTTTTATTATGAGCTTGCCGCCAGCGCCCTGACTTTGGGTCAGGAGTCCCAAGTTGTTGGCCCCCTTCGGACTTTACCTCCAGGTTATATACTATTCAAGTTTCAATAGTAAGAACATTACCTGATTTTCAGGCATTTTACAGGAATGCCATACAATTTCTACAAGGTTATATTTCCCAAACACTTAACCATCTATCTGCCTGTCATAGGACAGTGTGGTTTAATGTTTGCCCTGTTCTCCAAATTGCTCTATTTGTTCTTATTTTATGATCCTGTTTTTCACGACATGTGTTTATCGTCAGCTACATGAGAGGGGGTAAGGGAGTGAGTTTATTTGTAGCTTAAGTGAACTTAAGTGACCTTCTCTTAAAATGGAGACTCTTTTACCCCTTCACTGATAAAGTCCTATCCTGCATAATGTGTAATGAATTAATGTCCACCAGAAAGCAATGAGAATTGAAAATAACCAGAATATTTGAACTAACACCTTACTAAAGAAGATATACAGATGGCAAGTTAGCTTTGTACAGTGGCAGTATCATAGCCAATGAGGTTTTATCTGAGGCATGATTATTGCTAATTGAAGACTTTTCCCAGATGACAAGTTAGCAAATGAAAAGATACTGTACCTCATATATTATTAAAGAATTTCAAATAAGAACAGTGAGATCCCAGTGCACACCTATTATAATGGCCAAACTTCAAAACTGCTAATGCTGAATGGTGGGTAAAGTAGGAGCAAAGAGGAGCTCATTCATTTCTCATAAAATGAAGAATGGCACATGTAAAATGAAATTTGGTGTAGTAGTTTCATATAAAACTAAACATATTCTTACCATGTAACCCTACAGTCATAGTCCTTGGTATTTTCCCACACGGATTGAAAACGTAGGTAGACACAGATATCTTCACATGGATGTTTATAGTCATTTTCATTCATTAATACCAAGTTGTCCATTGGTAGAAAAGTGTATGTATAAACTCTGTCTATATAGACAATAAACTGTCACTCAGTGTTAAAAGGCAGTGAGCCATCTAGCTGTGAAAAGACCAGTAAGAATTTTAGATCTATATTTATAAAAGAAGTCAACCTAAAAAATTGCAGTCTGTATAATCCCAACTTTCTGACATTCTGGGAAACAAAAACTATAGAGACAGTAAAAAGATCAGCGGTTGCCAGAAATCAATGGAGGCTGAAATGAATATGTACAACACATCGGACTTGGAGGCAGTGAGACTGTTTTACTCTATGGTATGGCAATAGATGATGTACGTTATTATACATCTATCAAAATCTGTAAGATGAACAATACTCGAGTATCCCTGACTGTAAACTATGGACTTTGGGTGATGGGGAGAGGTCACTATAGAATCCTAGATTGTAATAAATGTACCACTTATTGTAGGACATAGATAGTTGGGGAATTTACATAGTGGGTGCTAGAAATGTATGGGAATTCTTTGTACTTTTTGTAAAATTTTGTGGTGAGTTTGAGTGCTGCCCTAAGATAAAATCTTTTGAAAAGAGAAAAAAAAATACCACATTTCTAACGTTTTTCAAAGTCTGAGCACTGGGTTCGAGCTGCCCTGTTGGGATATGAACAGGCTCTTAGGTTTGTCAGCACCCTTTCAAGCTCACTCTATTCTTTCACACTACGTGCCTGGTCACGGACTTTTGAGTTTGTAAAACTGCCTGGAGGAATTGTAATGGCTTCGTTCCCTCCCTCATTAGTGCATCCCCCTTTGAGATGAAATACTTAAGTTATAGTTGAAAAAGCCCTGACTGGAAGTCAGGACACAGTTCATAATAGTGGCAATTCCAGAATTCCAAATAGAAAAGAGTGATAGCAATTTGACTGAAAAAGTAACTGAGTTCGCATATTAAGTATGTGAATTTTTATATGGTCCTGCATTGGAGAACTGATGGGCACTCAGGAGAAAGCTACTTCCAAAAGCATTTTTTGGCATTAACACTGGCTCAAACTTGACTATCACAAGGTGGTTATAGGACCTTAGGCTTTTTCTCTGAAATACATATTTCACCACTGAACCCAAGATGATAAGGTAGAGACTACCAAGTCTCCACACCAACGCTATTAGCACTCCCTGGGAAAGTACTAAAACAGGATGTCAGGCACCTCCTCACACCTACAGAGTCTGGATTTTCACAAGTCTCTACCTGATTCACAGGTATATTATAATATGCAGCACTGACCTGCATTTTATTAAGTTCTCTGCTTGATGACTTAGTTTTGTAACAGTATAACTTCAGAATGAGACAGACCTAACCTGGAAATGCTCACAGTATCTATGTGCCATTGGAGAAATTCTATGACTTTTCTGAAACTGTTTCGTATTCATCGACTTAAGCAATGTTCATGCATGCTTTATAAGGCTATTGTGATATAAATAATAGGGCCCTCCCACAGTGCCTGAAATGCAATAAGAATTGAGTACATTTTAATTCCACTGTCTTACCACTCTTTCCTGCAGGATCAATAGTCTACACATCCATGTCTCTCATTTCCTGCCGTAGACCTCATTTCCCACTGCTGATGTACCTAACTGAAAAGCACAGGCACAAAGCATTCAATCTTGCAAAAGCAATATAACATTCTAAAACACTTATAGCTATTGTGTGCCAGTGACTAGAATTAAACCAGTCTTGGATGTGAAATATATCTTATAAATAAATAAACCAGCTTCTTCATTACTGTCAATTTGCCTAGAGACAATCAAACTAAGATTTTGCTTTTTATATTATCAAAATGATGCTGTTTTGTGGAGGTAAGATGCAGGGTCCCTAGAGTATTATCTCAAAACAGTGAGATTGACCCAATTATCTATTAAGTGTTGCAGACTTTCAAAGTAACCCTGAAGAACTCTGGTTAAAGAGCTGTTAAGTGAGAAAAATGTCTCCCAAGACATTGTTTTTTGGTTAATATTATTCCATTGTATTTTGAGTTGGTATGTTTTGTCTATTACTGAATGTGTTTTTATTCAAAGATCGCTCACTTATCTTTATACTCTTTATTTTGAATTCACTATACTGTGACTTTTCTGTAAATCTTTTATGAACAAGGTCTCTGGTGGGTCCGCTTTAATTGGTTAAGAATTATCAGCAGAGAACACTGTCAAAACTCTAGACAGGATTTCTTTTCAAAACTCGCGGCACAAAAGTTTTTGCAGGGATGAGGTGTCTGGCTGCAGATAAAAACAAATGATGTTCTCCTGCCACAAACAATATTTGAACTCAACTTGTCAAAACAAAAAGGGCTTTCAAGTATTCCATTAGCAATTATATTCTAGAACAGCTTTGTTTTATAAAACTGAATTATTCTTGTTAGAATTTTGACAAAACTGGTTGAAAGAAAGAAAAGGATTGGCACTCTGTGGTAATAAAATATTCTTGTAGTTATTCTTTCAGGGCACAGAAGGCATGAAACTCAAGAGCCTCTAAAGGTTTTCTTCTGTCATCTTGCAAATCTAAACAACAATTTTATTATCCAGCTTGAAAAGGAAAAGCACACATTCTCTTGTTACATAGATGTGTTTTCTTTCCCACCCCCAGATTAATGTCTAACTCAGAGAACTGGCGATTGATTTTGTGTCTGTCTGCTTCTCCTTTCCCTCTTCCTTCCATTCCTGTCCCACTCTTATGAGGGAAACTTCTCAGTCCTTTCTCCATATTTGTAAATCACCACAGGAATGTACACTACATAGATGCTCCAAAGTGCATGATACACTCCGTGCTCCCAATTAAAAGTGTTGCTCTAAGGAACATTGTATGTTTAATTCTAAAAACATCTTTACTGCTGTATATTATCAGAGCTATTTTACATCACTTATAAAACCATTTCAAAGTAAAATGAATGTTCAAAGTCAAGACTACACTGAAAATTAAATTATGGGCACTGTTCTGCGTGCTTTCTTAAGTGGCATGAAGAAAAAGTAAACTGATTCTAACATTACCATAAGTTGCACATCATTAGTGATGTACCCATCCTGTGAAGGTGTTCATATTAGGCACTGCAAACCTAGTACCGCATCAGCAGCTTGTTGATTGTCTGTAGTTGTTGGTTCACCATTCCACTTCCCTTCATTTTTCTATTGGATATAATACCCATTTGCTGGTCAGGATATATGAACAAATTCAGCTAGCTTTTAAATTTTATTTTGAACTGGCACAATTGATTGTCGCAATTAAACTTGTATTACTTTTAAAGCACACATTGTTTCATCGTATCTTGTGTTTGAAATGTGCTTAAAGATGTTTTCAGATCTTTTGTTTTTGGATTTTAGAACTATCACTATCAGTCCCTTTCTTTAACCCCAGTATATCTAAATGTAGATTTCCTACAAAGTTGCTTTCACCCACGCAACTCCTAATCAGTAGTTAATAGAGAGGGCTTTCCCCACCACTTGTGCCACATAATAGATAAATTTTCACCAATGATGAGACCACTGCTGCCCACTCCTAACACTGATGCCTTCCTCTTTTGAGTATCTTATCTGCTCTAGGAAAATGGCTTAAAGGGTCAGGAATCATTGAAAGAACTTGCAGGGGGACAATTTCTCTATATCTCTTTCACCTAGGAGATTTTTCATAAGCCAGCTCAGAACCCCTGTGCTTGGTATGCAACACAGAAATAACTAGGTAAGTCTCCCATAAATTGAATTGAACTGACCATGGATTTGAAGTTACTACCTTCCCTGCTGAGTTAAAGCCAAATAGAGCTGCCTCCCTCGGCCAGGCTTTGATCAGTAGCGTGTTACTTTCCTTTACCTGACTTAAATGCATCCAGTCCCAAGCACTGGTTTTATTTAATGTTCTTATTCACTTCACTGGAAATGCTTTAACTCTGGCACCTGCTGGCTGTGAAAGTGATTAGGATTTCATGGGACCAGAGCATTTCATTTCTACTAAGCCACACCATGGCCCATAAATTAACACAGGATTATGCTTCAGCATTTACTCTGCAGGCTTGTTTTGAACTGAAAAGAAAAGGCAATTGAAGGATGAAGAAAAAAATAAGGAAAATGATAAGATGAAAAGTGAACAGTTTCACAGGACCTGACAGTGTATATTAGCATAAGCGCTTTCTTAGGAAGAAGTTAAGAAACCACTACACCACTGTACTTTGTTAGCACTGATAAGCATCATCTTTTCCTCTCAAACCCAGATTCATTGTATATGTGGAAAATATCTCACCCTCTGTCAAAATATATATTGGTAATCTTAAGTGTCTGTGAAAGCCAGTTCAGCAGTTGGAGTCACAATCCCAGCTGAGCTCAGCCTTTCAGGCAATCTCGTCAAGGCACCAGCAATATGAGGAAAGCCATCCCAGACCATGCAGGGTGCTCTGTGAGAAGCCAGGCACTAGCAAAGGACCATTCTCAAGAGAAGCGGGAGAATCATTCTGCTGTGCTCTGTCTTAACTCTCATGGTTACAAATAGTTAAAGGTAGTAAGCATATGGTCAGCAAACCACGACCCACAGGTCAAGTCTAGCCCACTGCTGTTTTCATATGAGCAGATCCTACATTGTAAGAGTTGAAAAAGAATATTTGTCGTATAAGAAAACTATCTGAAAGTCATATTTCCATGCGCAGTAGCAAAGTTGTATGAGAACACAACCTTATTCATTAAATAATTTCTG